CCGGCGCTCGTCTACCTCCACAACCGCGTGCAAGCCGGCGACCCCACCGCTGTGGCCCCAGACCCCTGTTCTCACCTCCAAGCTGGCTAAGCATTCGCGCTGGCTCGCAAACGTAAGGAGCCCGAAGCAGAGCTGGGGACGTCCTGAGCGCCCCGTCGCCGCCCCGGTCGTTCCCACCAGCCGCGCACAGGTCGTGAGGGGGTCCTCTCCTGCGCTCTCACCGCCAGCCATTCCGGCGCGTTTCTACCTCCGAATGAATCCTGCGCCCAAGCTGGGCGCTTCTCCGGGGGGCCCGGCCCGCCGCTGACCGCTTTCCCGCGGGCCCTCGCGGCTCCGCGCACGTCCAAGGGGAACTCCAGTGAGCCATACTCTCCATGTCCCCTCCATGCTCCCCCATCCCCCAATTCCAAATCCCCAAGCATCCAATAATGCTCAAATTCTAGTTTCACTTACAAGCCGCACCTGCATCAATTTCTGGGCCATGCAGCCACCTGGTGGCTAAAACAAGTAACAGGCCTTACTGTCATCTTCCTGCCAGGCCCTTTCTTTTCAGTGTGATCTGTGCCTTGGGTAGGATAGAAGTAACACATTGACCAAAAGACTGGATCGACATGGGTCTGGGAGGGATGCCTAATTAAGTAGGTATAATGAAATTAACGAGAAATGTGACAGGTTGCAGTAATGGGCTAAATCTAAGGATGATTAGATTTAAGAAGGATAAATGTGAAGTCTTACCCCCCCGGGGCCAGAAACAAAACTCGGGCTCTGCAGGAGGAAGCACAGGTACTCAATCAAGAGTTTCTGGTGACCCTGACACCCCCAGTCTGGCTACATCACCTCTTGCCTGGATTCTTGCAGTACCTCCCTGTCTGGAGTCCTGGGCATGGATCTCTCCCCATGCCTGTCCATCTTTCACTCGGCCTGCAGTTATTCCCCTGTGTCAAACCCCGAGGACCTCCTGCGGGAGCTGTCAAGCACGCACACACACACACACACACACACACACACACACACACGGCTGGAACCTCGAAGAGCTGTGGGGTTGCAAATAGCTGTCAACGCTTCTGTGGTCCTTGAAGTCATGTGACAGGCTAGGGTCCCCAGAGGGAGGAAAGCAAAGCCAGAGGCAAAGAGGGCAGAGAGGAGACCCCTGAGAGGAGAGGAGGGAGATGAGAAACAGGAGACATGTCATGAAAGCCAAGGAAGGATTTTCAAAAGGGCAGGAGGATTCAAGGCTCTAAAGGCTGCAGGGACCTGTAGTGTTTGGCCATTAGGAGTTGGGAGCCCCTTCCCACCGGGAGAGTAGGGCAGAAAGGTAGCAGTGCTTTGTGGAATAAACAAAAGATGAAGATGCTGAGAAAGCTAGTACAGGCTTCCACATAATGGGGGAAAGACAAACAATGGCGTAAGGGAAGCCTTTGTTTCTGAAGGTTGGAGAAATGTATCAGCTAGCCACTGCTGCGTGACAAAGCCTTCCAAACTCAGTAAGTTAAATGAAACCAATTATTTTTTTCTTGTGAGTCCTTGGGTTGGCTGGGGGTCACCTCATCTAGGTAGGGCTGGCTGAGGCAGCTCTGCTCCTTGTGTCTGGTGAAGGCAGGAATGCAAAAGAGCAAGTGGGACCACAAGGCTTCTTGAAGCCCTAGTATCAGCGCTGGCATAACAGCATTTTCACCCAAAATCAAGAGCTGAGAAATATACTCCACCTGTTGCTGGGAGGAAAGGCAAAACCATATGGTAAAGGTATGTGAATACAAAAGGTATGGTAATGTATGTGAATACAGAAAAGGGTAAAAAATCGGGGCCGTGATGCCTTCTACCTGGGAGACAAGCAGAGATGGAAAGAAAGAAGGCATCCGAAAGGGACAGACTGGACAAGATTCAGTGAACGCTGGGAGAAGTGTGACCGGCACTAAATTTGCCGAAGAACTAGATTCATGTTGTGGCTCTACCAATGACCAGAGGAGCAGCTTTGGGTCGGTCACTGGGTCTGAGACTCCATGTCATTCCTGTTAAGAGCAAGTGATCACCCCTACATCTCGGTGTGAAAATTGAATGAGGTACTATAAAAAGTGCTTTACCGCGAAGCACCAACCCACGTACAGTGACACAGTAAGTTTCCAGGAGAGGTGGGAGGCGGTCATGGGACAGCAGGAACACAATGGCTACTTTCACAGACTGAAGGGCATTCGCGTGAGGGAGATGAGACACAAAGAGGCCTGTGTTACAGACCAAGGGCTAATGATGGAAATGGGGAGGGGGAGTGAGGTCCTAAAAAAATAACATTTTAGTAATGAGTAGAGTTCCAGTGTGGCTTTAGGAGGTGCTGATTTCTTCCGCACTTGGGGGGTGTGGGGCCTGGGAGCAGAGCCCGGCAGACCTGTTATCTTTAGAGGACAGTTGAAGGGGATATGCGGCCACTCGTGTTTCGTTGGATCCATCAGCGGTTCTCAGCCAAGGGCGGCCCCCCACCACACACCCCCAGGGGATGTTTGTTGTCCAGATTTCTGGATGATTCAGGTGGCATTTGGTGGGTAGGGGCCAGGGGCACTCAATCTCAGACAATGCTCAAGACGGTCCTAAACGATGGGAAATGACCACACTCCACACACTGTCGGTGTCCCTGTCGGTACACACTGGAGGAGGTGGCTTCTGAGTGCCAGTCTTGAGGGGCCCAATAAACACACGTCCATTTTTAGCGGCTGTAACCCACGGTGTTGCCACCATGCCTCACTGGACTGAGAAGAATTTTAGAAAAAGTACTGGACTTCAGAAGAATTTTATTTTATTTTATTTTTTTTAAAGATTTTATTTATTTATTTGAGAGAGAGAGAGAATGAGAGAGAGCACATGAGAGGGGGGAGGGTCAGAGGGAGAAGCAGACTCCCCGCCGAGCAGGGAGCCCGATGCGGGACTCGATCCCGGGACTCCAGGATCATGGCCTGAGCCGAAGGCAGTCGCTTAACCAACTGAGCCACCCAGGCGCCCCAGAAGAATTTTAGATATGATTGAACGAGCACCGTCACAACAGCAACACATTATAATCCCTTTCAAGAGAAAGTTTTCTAAAACAGCTATCAGTACACCGGATTGTGTAGAGGGCCCTGAAAAGATTAATGTCAGGTACATGAATCACTGATTATTCCAGCATGTAAAGAGAGCCAGCTACGAGACACCACATGAGCTATAAAGTTAATGTGCTAGCCGAAGTAAACAGTACACATTTAATTTACTATCATTTTGCTTGCCACTGAGAACACAAAAGTCTCTTTGGAGATGTCTGTTTTCCTAAAAAAAAAAAAAAAAAAAAGTCTAGGTAGTTTGAACTCCCCCTCCCCCTCCTTTTCCTTCTCCTTCTTCTTCTTCTTTCTTCCAGCATTCACATTTTCTCAGTTTGGGGGCTTGGATCAAAGCAGTAGTTTCAGTAAATATTTGCTTCTGCTGTTGATGGTGTTTCTCTCACTGACGCATTTGTAAAGGAAGGTCTGACCCTGCATTCTCTTTGTCACCCTCCTCTCCCCTCAGCTCATTCACAGCCTGTGTCACCGAAAGGCAGGGGGCGGTTGGCCAGAGGATGGCCGGAGGAGGAGCGTCTTACCCTCCCTGCAGGTGTCATTCACAAGGACTTCATAAGAGGAGTTCCCAGAACAAAGAGTCCGCAGAGTTCCCGAAGGCATCTGATTCTGGCCAATCCCCAGGGATTAAGTAGGCAGGAAGAACTCAGGTTTGTCTGTCACTTTAGTAGCAGCCTTAGCCAAGAAAGGTGGAGCTTCCCTGCCCTGTATTCGTCTTAATGTATATCCATCAATTAGGGCATACTTTGGGCATCATTACAGTAGCATGAATGGTGGCCTTCCCAAGCATGTTTAAGATAAAATTTTAAACAAATTTTCAGAAACACACATGTGTGCAACAAAGCACGAGTGTTATCCAGAACCTTCTCTCAGATTTACCAACTAGAATTTGGGTTTTAGATTTGGACTGTTGTCTTCCTAGGTGTCTGTCTGAGATTCTCTCTCCCTCTCCCTCTGCCCCTCCCCCCATGCACTCTCTCTCAAATAAATAAATCTTTCTTTTTTTTAAGATTTTATTTATTTATTTGACAGAGAGAGACACAGCGAGAGAGGGAACACAAGCAGGGGGAGTGGGAGAGGGAGAAGCAGGCTTCCCGCTGAGCAGGGAGCCTGATGCGGGGCTCGATCCCAGGACCCTGGGATCATGACCTGAGCCGAAGGCAGACGCTTAACAACTGAGCCACCCAGACGCCCCTGAAACAAATAAATCTTTTAAAAAATAAAGGTCTCTCAACTGCCAAAAAAAAAATTTAAAAAGTTTCAATTTTAAGATACTTAGTTCTGTTACCATTGCTGTAAAAGCTTGAGGGAGGTAAAAAGTTCCACTCCAAGTAGTGGTCTTGGGGACAGAACTCTGCCCAGAGCCCGGGACATGTGGCTCAAGTCTCAACTAACATCAACTTATGTGACCTGCTCAGTGCCTGGGGTGGACCGTTACTTTCAGGGCCCCAGTGAGCCACGCCTCCTGGTTCTCATGCCCTGTGCTGACCCCTCTCACGGGGACCCTGGGCCTGGCCGAGGCACTGGCATTGGCCGGCGAGACCCGGGCAAGCCTGACGCGAGGGCAGGCTGGCAGAGCATGCGCACACGGGGCTTGTCCTCTGGGAGCATTCCCGTTGAGAGCCCTGGCCACCAAGTCGCGCGGCCCGACTACCCTGCTGGAGAGACCACGCGGACAGATGCCTGCAAGCCCCCAGCCGTGTCAGCCATCTAAGCTGTGACGCCGAAGTCTGAATGAAGCTGCTCCAGCCTCCG